GCTTTTAAGGGAAAAGAGCTGATACCGATAAGCTAACAACAAGTGAGAATCAGTACAAAATGAATTCTCTTCACTGTGTGCACACACAGGCTGGTGTCCTAACGGCTCCTACATAGGGCTTCTCGGACGACTTTTCCACTTTTACGTCACTACATATTGAGGTTACTTGGTATCTTGTCGTCTATATTCGAGCTCCATTACCCACCATATGTGATCGGAAACTTTGCTTTCAAGTGAGAAATTTTAGGGTTCATACCTTAGGGTTAGCTGCACTATCAGGTAAACGAGATGAAAGAAACAAACTATTGAAGAAGTTTTTTTTTCTCTTGAGGATTTCGAAGAATAAAGAGGCTCCTCTCAAGCTCTGCAACTCTGTAAAAGGAACAACCTGCGAAGACTGGAGCGGAAGAGAAACTCGATATGCCTCTTCTCTCTCGTGCCATCGAAGCAGGGACTACTATCAATGAAAGCACGCTGGTTTGTTTTATCCACCGCTAAGGTTACTGCAAAATTCGTCTTCAATGCTACCAACCACGACTAACGTATTATGTCGCAAAATCATCCTTAAGTTGGGAGGTTTGTCTCTAGCGACTCAATTCTGGAGTAAATTCTTCCTCTTGCGACCATATAGTTGATGCGAGTTGCAATCAAGACGGAGCGTCAGGAATGTGCGTTCCCGGCCCGTTTTTACCATTGGTCATCTAGTGGTGATGTATTCAGAAATTTCAAGAATTAGTAGAAAACGGCGGGGTTGGCTCGTTCCAAGCTTCCCGACACGGCCCCGACCGACTGCGATGATATCAGCTGTATCGACGAGTGAGTAGTGTATGTAATCGAAGCAGACTGCCGGCAGACCACAGACGACCCCTACGTCGCGGATGCCTTGAGATGCGCTTTACCTTGGCTGATACTACTCTAGCCTAATGCTTGGATAAGGAGATCTCCCGTACCGGCGGTGAACATATTTCTTCAGAATCAGAGTATCAAAAAACAGGCAAAATCTTAGGGAAGTCGTGTCACGGAAACATCTAAGCACTGCAGAATTACTGACTGAGTGGAGTCGACACTGCGGCAGGGGCACGTCACATCACAACCTGACGACTGGAAGATCGCAGTTTTGCCAAATCAACTGGCCTTTTCCTCTTCTAAAGCCCTCATGCTCACAAGAAATGCAGTGACCATCCAAGAACTCTTTTTGTAACTCAAACCTGCTTCAGACGTTTCCGGAACAAAAAGGTGTGGGCGGTGTAGCACTCTCCACGTAGTGGTCAGCGCCAAGCCTTATTATTTATTAATTTGCAAAAGTGGGAAGCCTGTGATTAGTAGTTTTGTTATGATAACTGCTGTTTAACGCCGCAGTACGCGTTCCGAATGTTATCACAAGAATGCTGAGTTGTGGGCAAAAGTCGTGCCCCAGGCGGGAGTCGAACCCGCACCTCACGCTTTCCGGGCGAGTGCGCTATCCGTTACGCCACCAGTTAAACGTGTGAGTGTAGTCAACCACGTAGACGTAGACCTCCACAGGCGGAGTACTGTATTCATCGTCCAAAGTTGCGAACGGCGGATTTCTGTGGATTGCGGGGATACCCTTGTTCTCATTGTAGTATAAACAATCTCACCAATAAAACGGCCGCTGCTGTTTTTTCAGCTTTCTTTTCTCTCATATTCGTCCCTCGAGTACAGTTAATCCTCTATGGAGGGGTAATAAAAACTAAGCCAGAAGTCCACCAAGTTTTTCTCTTTAAAGTCCACAGTCTAAGAGTAAAACGTAGTCATATGGCAATGAAGAGTCGATCCCATTTCTCATGCTCCTATTTCTTTACACCTGAACGCTCACCATCCGGGAAAGGTCTGAAGAGGAAAAATTTCTGGATCAAGAGCTTCAACTAGGATACAATTTTTATTACACGAATACATGTGATCGAGATACAATCCTCGTCTCCTACTAGAGAGAGTTCGTCTTATTTGAAGTTGAGTGCCTGACCAAACATTGGTCTTTTCTGATTTTGGCCATTCTGGAAGCCACTGCTTGGAAGTCCGTTACTGCCACCAGAAAATGGGTTCCCATTCGAGGGAAACATAGGCTGATTCCCCTGATTTCCGCTAAAGCCATTACCTCCCAGGAAACCTCCACCCATTCCCTGGTTATTTCCCTGATTCGTAGGAAAACCGTTATTTAATCCTTGCTGTCCAGAACCACCGAAGGGGGCGCCGTTGTTGCTGCCACCCCCTGGAAAAATGCCGCTGTTCCCTAAGAACCCGCCGTTGTTTCCAAGGAAGCCACCATTATTGCCTTGGAATCCATTTCCATTTGGGAGTTGAACGGTGCCGCTAGGAAATCCTGCATTACCATTGTTGAACCCCCCTTGGTTACCTGTGAGGCCACTGCTGCCTCCCTGGAATCCTCCAAGATTTCCGTAGTTATTTCCCGGGTATCCATTGTTCTGGTTTCCGTTGTTCCATGTATTGCCATTTGGGAATCCAGCATTGTTCGGGTATCCGTTGTTGTTGTTGTTCCATGGATATCCTGTGTTGCCGTTTCCGAATCCGCCATTATTTCCGTTAAAGCCGCTGTTGCTACCTGGGTATCCTCCATTCATGTCGTTATTACCTAAATATTTTCAAGTTATGTTCTCAAGAGGGCCCAGATTCTTACTGCGACATGTGGATGGACTGACTCACCTGGCACGTCGCCCACAGAAGGCAGATAAAGCTTCGTTATATATTCAGCGATTGCTTTTTGCTTATCGTCGAGCGGTTTGGCGAGATCGGTTATTTTGGTGAACGCGTTTGCAATCGACTGCTTCTGTAAATGGTGCTCGTATGTAGGAACAACTTTGTGGGACTATTTACCCTTTTACACATTCCTTAAGATCAGTTCCTCAGATCAGTTTTGTACCCATTTTTCTCCGAAGTCGGATTTCGCCGAAAAATCTCTACAGGTGTAGTTTGAGCTTTCTAAGAACGAACATCACATTCGCTTCTCATTAACCGTCTGACGCTAAATCCACAAGCGTCGAAGCTTTTTTTGATGCAGGTATCGGTAGCGCGCGGCTAGCCTTTTCCGTGGCAAGTGGTGGCATTCGTTTACGGGGTTCAAATTACCCCTGGACAAGTGCTTGGGGGAACTTTATGATTTGAGGCATTTTGTCGCCGGCCCGTGACATGAAAAGACAGTTCGTGAGAAGCGGATGCGATATTCGTGTTCACGGAGTCGAGCTACCTTTGGGAAGAAGTTGTCGGTCAAATCGACCATCGAAAAAAAGTGGTGAAAGGTTCACTGGCAGTGAAGGGTTCATAGTGGCCACAGGTAAGACACGTATTTCATTAACAAGTATCTTCAGGCTCACTTTTCCGGCGGCTTCGCGTTGGTGGTCACCTAATGGCCCCGAGCCTTAAGGCCACGTAGCGCGGCGCACTCTAAGAAGACTCGTTGAAGTTGTGTTTTGACAAAAGTGGGCTCACTTGCCTCATTTTCGTAGTTTCAGTTGAAGTTTATGGGGTCCCAAAGAGACTTATTATTTGATTAGGAATTATCAAGAGGAGCAGCAATAGAGCCAAATGCTCCCTGCGAGCCAGAAGCGCTAAATTTTACGTATCTGTATGTGTTGTAATCATGGCAGCAATGAGCTACGGTAGCTTAACTTGATCACATCCTTTTGTAGTGAACTCGATCAGTAACCGATGAAAGCTCGCGACTTGGAGGGAGGGTTACTCCATGTACTGATTGAAACATCTAAGCCTTCCCCTTCATTGAGCGAGAAGTTTTAGAGGATTCGTCGACGAGTGAAAAAGCTCCTACCTTAAGGTTCTCCATAACTCTTCAACATTAGTTAGTGAAATAGGTCGTAAGTTTTGGCATCAAATCCTTTACGTCTTTTTTGAAATCAGCAGTTCTCCTTTTCCATGTCTGCGACAAATTTCTGGTACCTCGTTCTATAAAGAGACGTGTAGATTAGCCTCCTCTATATATAGCAATGCCGGTGATCCGCTACTACCTGAATTCCATACTGCTTCGCCCAGTTCGTCAAGGCTGTCTTGAGATTGTCAAGTGACTGTGATGTATTCTGAAAGCAGAAGGCTTAGGTGTTCGCGGCTTTTTTCGGGAAACTTTTTTTCGACAGCTCACCGAGCTGAGCTGACTTATTAAGGAAAGAACGTTGACAAGTTATTCTTTCTGAAAGTACTATGAAAAATTAAGCCTGAAATAGAAGCGATCTACGTACATACCTTTGTAACCCCATTTACATGCAAGTTAGTTCATATCATGAAGCGCTGCCCCTCTTACTCCTTTTTATATATGTCGTCTTCCCTTTAGATCGGAGACTTCTATATTCTATCGGGCGTTCCCAACGCGAAGTTAAACACATTTTCCAACAGAGAAAGTAATTAGCCGAACCACGTTGGGCACTACTACCGTCCCTACAGCCACGCCCACTTCTCGAAGCATTCATAGTTTTTCAAATTCCGTTTCGTAGCTTCTGCATCTGCGACTTTTTTGTGATTTCGCCGGTTCGCACATACCCTCTAAATGAGAAGGATATTATATCCTCTCATTGAGCTCTGCCACTTTGGTCGTGCTCACTTCGAAAGTTTTGTGGGGAATTTTGATCCTTTCATCTGAAAATTTTTCGAACTTCACAAGCGTCTCTTGAAAGCTCCGCCTACTGGGTGAGACCCACTTTTGAGAGTCGTACCGCCTTCGTAAAACGCTCTGAATCATCAGGCTAGAGCCTCATAACAAGTCGGAGCCTCTCTCGTCCCTCAAAAAATCACGAGCCTTTGTCTCGCGCGACCAGGTCACAAGTTCGGATGTGGTCTCCGTCATGTCAGTGAACCTGTCCACCCTCAACGCTGAACATATTATATCTCGCAGGAATTCATCGAATGCGGCTTTGTGCGCTCACTGATCCTGTTTTAACTATGTATTACTGCTCATGCTTAGACCAGGTACATATTGCTCGCATTTCAACGCAGCGCGACTCGTTCTGACAATGTGAC